CACACACACACACACACACACACACACACACACACGAACGATTCGTGGATGGAATGAGAGAGAATTTGGGATTCTTTTTTAAACACACAAATACAGGAATTAGGAAGGGGAAATATTCAGGTACCTTTCCGATCCAGCAAGATCAACTAGATTGAGTCGGGAAAAACGAAGGTTACTAATGCCATCCGAGAACCCCTGAATGGAAACAACAAGCAAGCACAAGAACACGAGGGTACACATCGTCAACTCCTCGTCACAAAACAAGCCTTCCACATCATACCGAGATTCAGAACGCACAAGCCATTCCCATTAAACAGTTAGCACGGGCCCAATCTTCTTTTCATTGAACTGATTGCAACAGACACTAGACCGGATCTTTATAACAGAGACTTCACTAGATCGTAAACAAAAGAAAGATGTGTCCTAAACAGATTCATGACATTCCTTTTCCGAAATTCAATGAGATGGCAGTGTGCCTGTTGCAAGCTGAGCCCGCCACACGGGACCCGTTTCAGGGGTCCGACAGTTGTCGGGGGCCCCCAGGCCGTGCAACCATTTTCGCGCATGATCTGGAGGCCCAAGGCCACCCTGGTGTGCCATACAGGTTCTTTTTTGAGCCAGCATTCATTTATTTATTTATTTATATTTTTGCCGACTCTTTTGTCTGTTCTATTTCTGTCTGTTCCAGGGCATCAGTTCGGACTTTACATGTCCGAACAGACTACTGTCTGTTCAGACCAGGGGCACATTTTGGGCCTCTTGGAGAGGCTGGACGTGCAGTACGGACCCAGGCCGTTTTAGGTCTAGGACCAGCAGCAGAACTTGGGCCTACAATCTGGGCCACCGATGAGACTTCAGATATGACGGCCCACATTGCAGACCGTGGGCGCACGATTCTCAGTGCTGCGCTTTAGTGTAGGATGTAGAGCAAGGAGAGGTTGGGGGCAGTGGCAGCAGACCTTTCGCAAGTGTGATAGCAACAGGGGAGGGATTGCCTTTTTCCTCTTCTTCCTCCTGTCTCCACCGTCCATTCTTCTTCTTCTTCCTCTTCCTCTTCTTACTCTGAGAGAGAGAGATAGACAGACTACGGGCAGAGGTTATGTCGGTCTATAGGGCTCAGGATCTGATTCGACATCCCAGGGGCAGACATTGATTGGACATTCAACAGGGAGACTATTTTTGGACTGCGCTATCACAACTTTGGTCTTCTCCCTCATCTCCATCCTCCTCTTGCTCTTCTTCCATCCCTTCATCCGTGGTTTCTCCCCATGTGCATGCTGAAGGAGGGACCTTTCGTCTGTGTATGCAGTCCCTCCTTTCTCTCTCACATCTGTGGTATCTGATGGGTTGGGTTGAGTCAGTGTCCAACTGGTCAGGTCATATCTTTGAGTCTTCCACTGCGCTAAATTCTGCCATTTTTGTATGTATATGGATGTACATTGTGTGTTGATGCTTCGCTGATGATGCATTGTCCATTCACTTTGCTGATCCTTTGGCCCCATTGCATTACTCAGATTATTCCGAGTATGCATCAGTGCCCCAACTGTTCGATACCTGTCAACCAAGTGCATGGGCATCGAAGTCACAGCATGCGAGCATGTTCAGTCACGGTGATCAAGCGAATGCTGCACATGATCAAGGATTATTGCAGGATAGATCATTGAGATAAAGCAGGCGGAAAACATGCCATAGGAGAGAGGTCTCAATAACAATGAGCAAGCACAAAAGGCTCACCTTGCTCTCGATAACACAAGTAAACACACTGTGTGAACGACTGCTTTCCCGATTCATATTTGTCTGTGCCACCTTCCGGTTCGCTGCACCCTGCAAGACATAGAAACATATCATCCTTGTAAGGAAACCACAAACACAGCAAGACTTCGAAGACAAAAAAAGGTTGAAAAACAAAGTAGGCAAAAGACGCATGTACCACTTTTCCTTCTTTTTTTTTTCGAGCCAAGAAGTGCATGCCGCATCTATTCTCATAGGCATCAGTATGGTTGCTTATCACCGGCATCACTTTTTGAGAAGAATGCCCATTCAGATTTCTAGCGCTCTGCATAACAAGACATCAATCAAGTGAATGCACAACACAACGGACTACGATCTTCGACATAATTATGTCAATTGAACACTGAAGAGCATCAAGTTTTGGCGAAGGTACAGAGATATCTTTTTCATAAGGGCGACGGCCTTGAGATATCATCATTGAACTGACCTGACCGGCCCCTGGCAATTCAGAAATATTTGGTTTTACTCATCGAGTTCCATTATCTGGATTTGAACTCAGGTCTGTATTCCAATAGTTCATTGGTGCACCCTGTGGGCTATGCTCTTGGGTACAGGTACATAGATATCTACCCTCCTATGGTTTCCAATACTAGAGAAAGAAATTAAGAAAAGCACACTTGGTAAAAAACCTACCCTACTGCCAATGGAGCCAATAAAAATCATACACACCAGGTATGGAGCAGACAGATAAGGGGAGGAGAGCGAGTGATACGAAGAGGAATCTGCAGACAAGGTGAAGACGCTAAACTCACAACAGTGTGTAAACTCACAACAGAAGGATGGAAGTAAAGAAAAGAATGGACGTCAGAAAAATGTGAAATCTTGTGATGAAATCAATCCAGAGCTGCAGCGGCAGATTTACCTCCATCAAAAGCTTGATAACGTCCTCTACACCACCAACGGCAATCTCCGACAAGCTCTCCACATAAACGCCTCTCTTCATATCTTCACGAATCTTCAGCACAATGGACGTGTTGTACAGAACAACTCAGTAGTCTTCTCCAATCAGGACAAAATCATCTTTTTTTGTACTGTTTCTTGAGGATGTGAATCGAATCATTACCATCATCTGAAGAGAAAGCCCTTATGTTTAATTAACACTTATCTCATTACCTGGGTTAGATTTTGGGGTTACTGTATTACAAGCTGAAACCAGGTCCAGACATAGCAAGGATTGACATATTGAGGGTTCGTTCTTGAGCCTATGGGTAATGGTGGCGCATAGCCGTTCTGAGTTGGAGTGATTTGTCTTTTCAAAGCCCTTTCTGTTAACGCAGAAAACCAGCTCTGCCAAGGGAGGGTCAGGACATCCAAAATTATAATGTCCCTCCGAGTACTGGAGCATCATCATCGTGTTATAGTCATTATCATGATCATTCTCATCCTGATCCTCATCATCATGCTTATCATCATTTTCGACCGAACACCGTAGGCGACAGCCAGCAGCATCTTAAGTGTCGCTGTAGTCACAATCCTGCATGATGACCAACGTCAAGGACAACCCTGACCACCATCATCACATTCTTATCAAAACATCACTGTCGGCCACTTGTAGGAACATCATCAACGTCCTCGTCATGATCAACAGCACTATATTAACGTGCGCACATCATCACTAATGACAACAACGACAACCTGACCACCATCATCACATTCTAATCAAAACATCACTGTCGACTACTAGGAACATCACCAACGCCGTCATCATGATCAACAGTACCATAATGATGTGTGCTAATCATCACTAATGACATCAATCCACAGGCAAGGATCATCCATTAGGAATAGTGTTTCAATTCTTTCAAAAGAATACACGAGCATACATAAACATAAAGTAAGGAAAGGCAACCATTCCGCAAAAGTACGGAGCGTCCCCTTCAGCTTGACAAAGTGTGTCCGGGGAACAAGTAGAATCACAAGGGACTTCGCAAGATAAACAACGCACCTGTAAATTCGTTTGCGTGGGATCCAGCAGATCAGTGATCGTCTCGTTGTATATCTGCATTGCAAACATTACGTGTTAGTAATTCCACCCCCCCCCTCCCTCCCTCTCTCTCTCTCTCTCTCTCTC